CTTTCTGAAACTCTATCTTTTAATTTCCTCCTCCTTGTCCAATAAGACAATGACTTGCCAATTTAAAATCCCCAAACTTTAGGCCTACTTTCTGACCACCGTTAAATACACGGTCAAAATTATTAGCCGAGTACTGTTACAGCCACAAGTCCAGCAAGATGAACGTCACGGAACTTGCACAATGTACATGTACTACATGTATCAATAATGTACATGTAGGGCCAACGAAGGCTCAGGCCTATACCATTTTTACTCGTCGTGATGAGGCTGAAAAAAAAACGGGAAAACGTCTATATACAAACCTCATCTCAACAAACTGGCATGTACTTCAGCAGTATCGTTGACTTTGTTGAAGTATGTTCAGGTGATTGGTTGCACTCAAAGATGGATTCGATGCTATAAATCTTGCAGTTGCACTGGACGGCCGGCAGATAGATACTAGGACGTGTGCTGCATGTATGTACTGTATACACAGGCTAAAACACGTCTACAACGTGCGAACGATGCGCGCTACATTACATTGTGTACTACGTATACGACGAGTGTGTGCGTGTAGGAGTTATTTGGCCACTTGCCAGTAAACTGATGCGGACGCGCGAAATTTTGTGGTACATGTATTTTTATTTCATGTTTTTAAAGCACGGACAATATTATAAAATGTTTCTAAATTTATTGTTTAAGTTTTTAATTCATAAATATTTAAAAGGGGTAATTATTTTAATACAACCTAAGAAGCCATTTAATTATTTTTTTTAAAGTTTGACATTCATACAATTTTATTGTGTGATATGCGTCGTTGTTTTAGTACGATGCGAAGTGGAGTTGGGCCAACGTCGTGCCGATATGTGAATTGCCGTCAATTTCCGCAACATTGGGCCAACAACGGGCCAACGGTAAACTTTTTTTGCGAAGGTTAGGAAAACTTTCTGTTATTGGACCAACAATGGGCCAACATCTCTCAGCCAACGCCGATATTTGGCCAATGAATCAACCATGAACCAATGTTGGCCCAACGTAAGCTTGCTATCTGGGTTCTGGCATGTCGCTCGATCTGGATGGAGCTCTCATCTGACCACACAACATCATTGAACGTGTCTTGCAAAGCAAGACACCGTTGCGCAAATTCTAACCGTTGTGGCCGGTTAGCCTCTCGGATGAGTTGACAGTACTGAGTGCCGAACGAAACCAACCCCAGATTCCTCCTGGCCCGCCGAATGCTGGACAGCCCAACAGTAACACCGGTTTCCCGGCGAAAGCTGTCCTGCAAGTCACGCGCGCTCTGCTCATTGTTGCGCTCAAGCTCTCGCCATCGATGATGTTTCGAATGTGCGTATTGATTTTGCTTTTGCGGCCAGAAATCGGCAGATCACCCAAACAAGAAGTCTCTCTCACCTTTTGCAAGACTTTTATAAAGGCCACTCTTGGAAACTGTCAAACCACTTTGAAGGAGTGTGGCTCTTATGGCATGTGCGGAGTGAGCACTCAGCTGAGCAATGCGACGGCGGGTGGCTTCACTGCACCGTGCCATGACGATCATGAACTAGCATGCAATGACGAGGTGAGTAAAAAATCTTCCTTTTTATACCTAGCATTATACCGATAAATTGTTAAGAAACACAAAAGCTTATCACGATCGGGTCTGGTCATGATGTCATAATTTAGCGCGTTTAGTGCGATTAAGATTTCGAAACGCGTTGAACGTGATAACGATTGACCTTGGTCGGGTCGAGGACCGGCAGCTGTTTCTACCCGGTCCCTACGTTTTGTTCACTTACTTGTACGTGCAATGTATGTGGCGCAATATTATCGGCTTTACGAGTACACGCCGTTTCTCGAAGCTGACGTTTTCCCGTTCATCAATCTTGAGTTTGTAAACTTTCCCAATGGTTTTCAGAATGTACTGAAATTTTACTATTATCTTATTGTTCGGATTTTCCAAAATTTGTTAAACATGCCGCTGTACGGGTCCCGCATGGTTAATCCTACTCGGTGCCTACCCAATTTCCGTACGGAAAATTCTGCTAAATTTTGTCAAAGTTTTCATAACTGTGAAATTGTTTACAAAGGTTTAAAGGGGTGTGGTATGAAGAAAACATCACCATCATGTAATTGAATTAATTATACGACGTTCCACAAATGGAAACTGTGCTACTAAGGTAAAAGGTACAGAACTTGATCCTACATGTAACTAAAGGTTTTTGCTCATTCCACAAGAAGATTCGGAGGTCAGAACAGAGTACTGATATGGTGACCTCATCTACACACGTGTTTGACGGTGTGCAGATTTATTATTATTATGCCGCCCACCCAGCCATCAGTTCACACTTCGATGAAACTCTGAAACTCCATTTATAGTTGAGTCATTAATAATTATTAGTAAAAAAGAATTATGTCTTAAAACAAGGGGGATTAACGGGTGGACATCAAACTGTTGTTGAGGAAGATCACAATGCTGAGAAACAGCCTCAG